CGAAGATCTGATAAGCCTCTGTTTGATGAACTTTGGAATATTTCAACTAAGCGATATTCTAATTTCAAACAGTGACACCGGGCTCAGACGACAAAAATAAAGTGTAAACCTGTAAGGCAAGATTTTTCCTTTACTTTACACCCATACTGCGATAATGTAAGCCTTTACATCTACTATCCATATGTAAATACATGCAACATGAAACAAAATATAGCTCCGTAGCAAACGTATTTGGGCTTGAACATTCCCTTGCTCAACTCAACTCAGGGACATTGTCACGTGTCCTATGCATTGCAAGCACTTAAATACCATGGACCCGTGTCCTGCCTAAATGCCCCACGCCTCTAAGCGACTAGAAGCAAGGGGTCGGTGCGACATTGCGGTACATCCCAGTGTACTTCCATTCGGTCTTACAGTACTGCAGTATCGGTATAAAGTAAAGAAAAAATCTCTTCAGTTTACACGGCAAGTTTTCGCCGTCTAAATCCGGTATCAATACCTGAAATGTGATTTTTACCGGTAGTATTGAAAGCTCCATCTCAGGGAAACTACCTCAGAACTTCGAGGTTATATTTTGTCTTATATTGCTTAGCTATATTTTGTTAGATCTTTGCATGCAAGTCATTAACAGACTTGACGAATCTTTATCATGCGGTCACCATTTTTATCCAGGGTGGAGTCAAGGTACGAGAAGATGGTGAACGTGTAATTTCAACGTCATTCACCGATACTGTTGTTGAAGGGAGCTACCTAGTTACTGTCATATGCCGTTTGTTCGCGATGATAACTTTCTCTTAGAGTGACAGAAATTCTGTTGGAGAGAGAGCATTACGTACTAAGTTCTCGCACATCGCAAGTTTGTGACTTACGTTCCTCCAGTTCTGAAATGTATGGCACAGATTTTCAACGCAAAACACGACTGCTACACTGAGTACCTTAAATGTCACTCGCTACAACGAGAAATCCTAATACACTCCTTTGTTAACAGGGAATAAATCAGTCAAAATGCCCGCCAGTGACTTTGCGAACTGCTGATTTCTGCGCAGTTCTCACAGAGTTATTGATATATTCGCTTCTTATCACTTCTCCCGATTCACAAGGCGCGATCATGCCGTCCTTTTGCGTCTAGTAGCCCGTGGAACCATTTGTGCAGCAAGGGGTTCATCGTATTTTAGCATCTGGAACACAGAAGTGCAATATTCATTACATACGCTTTTGTAGATCGAACATGTATTTTTGAACGCAGCAAAGTAGTGCTATATTGCGCCCAGCGCTGCAAATGCTAAAGTATCGTGGAGCTTGGAATTGCTTAAACGGTACCCTTCTGTTTCGGAAGCCGAAACGTCACAGTAAACGGAGTAACTTGCGTCACCCGCCCAAAGAAATCTGCATTGAAAGAAGTGAAGAGACTAATAGAACTGGTACAGAAATTGGCAGACATTATAACCACCATCATCATCGCCACTGACTTCTTAACTTAAAGAAATTGTAGACATAGCTGTGCTTCTTTATCGTTACTGGATCGCAAAACGCATCTAATTTAAATAACTAAAAAACATCGTCAAAAACCTACCTTAATTACCGAACATGTTCCGTCATGTTTCGATTGAAGAGAGGAATTTCTCAAGCTGGCTTCAATTTCGTCCACGCGTTTAGCACCCATAATCGTAAGCAACTGCGACGCTGATGTAGTGCTATTACTCAGTCTGTTGACGTCACGTAGGTCAGCGTATCCGTCGGTCAAAAAGTCCATGATCGTCTTAGCCGGTCGTTCGCTTCCGCTGCCACCGCCACTTATCGTGTACTTTGGCATGCCGCCTTGGTAACTGGCGGAAGCTCTGTCACCAGAATCAGAAACAGGC